TACTACTGCTGCTGCTGCTGCTGCTGCTACTACGACGACCACTACTACTGCTACTACTGCTACTGCAGCTACTGCTACTGCGCTACTGCTGCTACTGCTACTGCTGCTGCTACTGCTACTGCTACTGCTACTGCCAGTGCTACTGCTACTGCTACTGCTACTGCTACTGCTACTGCTACTGCTACTGCTACTGCTACTCCTACTACTACTACTACTACTACTACTTCTTCCTCTTCTTCTTTTTTACTTTTTCCACTACTAGTAGTACTCCTCCTGCTACTGCTATCACTTCTACTCCTGACGCAGGTACCACCACCTTCACTGCCGCTGCGTTTCTCCACCTCCTCTCACGATTATTGGCTCCTGGCGTCTGTGGATGCCTGCTGCACGCACGGGTCCACCTCGGCAGGACTTATATGCCAACCCTTCCGAGATCTAGGCCTGCAGTGGCAATTGCGCAAAGTGCGACAGGTGTCAGAAAGGCTCGGCCTCCTCGGGAAGCAGCCGGTCAGCGAGCCTTGCAGTGATATCTTAGCTCACTTGCTGCGCTTCGTTCTTCAATCCAGTGGGCTCCCCACCAGCGCAGCTGACTCGCTGGAGTTCTTCGAAACATACGGCTTGCCTTCAAAAGAGCCACCAAGACCTGCAGCCCGGTTGATTGCGCTTAGCACCAGATATACTCACCCTTGATGCAGCAAATTCTGCTGCCACCGTTCTTATTGAATGGACCCAAAACGCAACCCGAATAGATCTAATGAGTTCTAACCGGATTGGAGATACGATACCGCCTGCGCTCTGCTGCTACACCTGAGCACTGCGCGTTCGTTTCTCCACTTTCTTCGACATCTCTGTAAATGTCCTTCTTGCAGGCGGCAGAAGGCCCTGAGAAGAGCAGTGTGAATTGGCCTCTTCTTCTTCTGTGGTCATCCAGGAGCCCAGCTCCTGCTGAGCTGCTACCGTGTCGACATGCGATTTTGCCATCACCCCCCAGGACACTTAAAGCAGTGCATGGTGCTGTCGACACCTCGACATCCGCTCTGGGCTTGGTGTCCCCTGGCGCTGATGGCACCACACACAAACTCCATGCACCGACAGCTCTGCAGGCCGACCGTCCACGGCGCTGTCTTCGTCTCCGTCTCGGGAGCCCTTGGCATTCGGGCGTGCCCGGACCGTCGTTGCTCGGAAAGGCTGCCTCGGCCATTTGGATCCTCCTCTCCTTCAACACGCACCACACCTGCAAACAGGCTTCAGAAGGCTTCAGCATCTCGGCCCTTCCCAATGCTGCACCATGCCTTACGCAGCTCACGCTCCTCAACAGAGCGGCCCCTGCAGACCTCCAACTAGTTGGCTCGAATGCCCTGCTGCACATGCTGCTTGTGTTGCGCGAAGCACAGCTGCCACCTGCAGGTCCTGCCGAGCGAGCATCGATGCCTCAGGAGACATTCAGGAACAGACCGTTGCCTCCACGAGTCTCGTGTCTTCCTGGCCTGCTCATGGACGGACAGAACCTGGTTGACCTGATGACGCAGCCGATGAACACTTGAAGGCGTTCAGGCCAGGTCCCCAGGTCCTGGCCGGTGTCTCGTTTTTGTCACCTCCAGCTGCGAGCAGCACCCGCCTTCTCTCAGTCATGATGTCACTGAGTCGAGGACTGCTCTCGGCATCGCTTATGCTGATACCATCTGACCACTGCTGTCACCACGAACAAGAACCACCCAATTTGGGGAGATGCCACGCCTGCATCGTAGTCGTTGTCGAGCGAAACGAATCCCACCCCCTGGACAGGTTGGGAGATGTAGAGAACATCACCCATAGAAAGGCAATAAGCCATCCTGAGAGTTGGACCTGCTGCCTCTTCTTTGCCAGGACTTGTGTCCTGCAGGTCGGTACATAAGCAAGGCTTGTGAATTTTGACGTGTTTTCAAACTCAATGATCGCGTGTCAGCTCTGCCTGGCCCGCATCCAGGACACCGCCGCAGCAATGCCATATCTCTCCCTGCCCTGGCATGACTTCTCACAACCTTTTTGAAACTTCTCAGCATGCATCAGCACTGCCGCATTGTCATGAAGGAAAATGCCGCTGAAAGCGCCTCCTCGGGGACCTCCATCACTGTGTGCCAAGTGTCAGCAACCACCTTCGGTACAGAGCAAACCCTTCCCATTCCATCTCTTCATGCACAGGTGCTGCCTCTTTGCTGAGTGACCAACATCTTTCGGATGCTGGAAGCCGGAGCGACCGGCTCTCTACAACGGCAGCTCGCGACGCGCTCTTCACGTCAGCATGGCCTCCTGCCGCGCCCAACCCTCAACATCCTCGGTCAAGTCTGCGGTTTTCACAGAACCAGACCTTTGAGCCACAACAACCAAGGAAAATCTTCGCACAGGAATTCCACAGAGAAGCTAAGAAGGGGCAGCTGGGCGACCGGTGCTGTCAAGGTTGGCCCAGCATTGTGAGATTTCGGCACCTGCAATCTGAATTGCTGCTACCTCCACTGCAGCACCTCGGCACAACTGCCTTGAAAAAGCCGTCGTCGTCAGGAGGCTTTGGCCTTTGGCGGTAGTTCCCGAACTTGCAGGTAGCTATGCCTTTCGTGTCTGCGTCTGCTGATGCCCATTCAGACTCTAAAGTCGATGCCGCCCGACCACAGTCTCCAGTTCCGAGCTGACCCTTTGCATCAAATACAAAGGACTCCACAATTCCTCGACAGCGACGGACGGGGTGCACGGACACCTGTGAGCTCCGGGGGGAGCGAGATGTAGCGAGGGCAGAAAGCGCAAGGGGTGAAGAAAGCGAGCGAAAGAGCGAGCAACACACTGTAACAAAACTACGAAATGGGAATTGGCCCCTGCCTTTTCTGTTCGAGGCGGCACAATCCGATTGCACAGCCGGCCACATTCCTCGATGTGCGGGGAGATCTAGGGGAAACGCGAAGAAGCAATGCCTGGTCACCGGAGACATCCGGAATTGAAGACCAGGGCTTGCAGGGCTTTAGGGTGTAGTGCTGAGAGCTTCAGAACCTGTAGATTATGAACCATTGGTGCTGCTTGTTGGCCTGAGAGTCAAACGTAACGGCTGGCGATTGGTCTGAAGAGGGCAACTGTTCCGATTGATGCGGCTTTCTTGCGGTCGTTGGCATGAGACTGGTGGACGTCTGGCACCAAATTTCCAAGGTGCCTGCCTGTTTAGGTCTTGTTTGTGTTATTTTGCTTCCGAATCTTCGACCTAATGCTGCATCGTGACCTGTCGAAAATCAACCTGATGGCAAAATGATGCCAAATGTGTATGCAGACGTTTTTGCGGGGGAATGCTGCGACGACAATGATCGTAGTCAGTTTTGATGTTGGTGGTGTCTTGGCGATCAGTGTTGGAAGCGGTGGTCTTGGGGTCTCCGGAAATCATATCTCGCACTTGGGGGTGATGACTTCCGCCTATCGTGTCAGAATGCCGACGTCCGAGCAATTAACCATACACAAAAAATCAGGACCCGCTACGCTGAGAGTGCTCGGAGCGCTGCAAATCATCTGCCACCTGGAAATCGAATGGCGAAGTCTTGGACTGCATCGTTGCATGATTGTGCCCTTGAGTCTACAGAAGAGCTTACTTGCTCCAGCGGTGCCTTGCTGTATGTGCCTCCGGACTGTAATGGCCTGGAGCGTGAGTCTTGCCAGTCCAGGAACCTGCAATCACAAGTTAAGTTACTGCGGCAAGGTTGGGAGCTGATTTGTTGCTGTGCTCCTGCTGCCTGCCTGCCTGCCTGCCTGACGTCGGGCTCACGACTCCAAGCCCGGTTTACGAAAAAGGCACCCACAGTTGGACAGACTTGTCATCGCAGACATGAGTGGACATCATGCTGCGATCTACTGCCGGCTTGATCTTCATGAAACCAAGCACTGCTCTCACAACGATCAGGCTGTTCAACATTGTTCAACATTTGCGGAGGTATGTCATGTGTGCTCTCTTGGGCAGTGACATCTGGACCGCAGCATCAGCGGTGGTGTTCGCGCTGTCAGATTCCACGGAACTGCCACGGGCGTGACACGGAATGGCAGACTTGAGGGAGACCAGACCAGTCCAGCCAACATGCTCATGTGCTCCCCCGAGTCGCCGAGGGCAGCACGTGCCCAAGAGCTGCTTTAGCGGCGAACCTCAACCGAAACTTGCCATCCAAAGCGAGGCAAAACTGAGCTTCTGAAGGGCCTGCAATGAGGCGCGACTGCGTCTTTGGAGCAGGGCCTTGGCCATGGAGTCACGAGGTGAAACAAGTGCATACACATTTAAGCTTTTTTAGGCAAGCACGGTGTCCGTTGCAAGCCGCCCCCTGCCTCTTCGGCGCCACCGCCTTCCGAAAGCCACAAGCTGCTGTATTGTGCCCGCTTCCACTCTGCCCCCAACCTTGCGGTCGGTTCTCAAGGCCGTCGGAGTGAGAGTCGCATCAAACACCCAACTTGGAATCCTGCACATTCAAGAACCAAATCGTGCAAGTATTGTTCGAGCAGTGTTGCTTCAATGCGCAGGTAGGAAGCATGCAAAAGAGTGGGCTATGCAAAAGACTACTGAATTAGACAAATACGCGGCACGTATCTTCTTGCAGCAACTTGCTGTACGAATTGGTCGGTAGTTCGCGTTGACGGTGGACATCACGGCCGCAGAGGCTGAAACCCAGCCTGAGGGGCTCGAAGCTGTAATCAGGCAGCCCGAAGAACTGGAGGACCGGCATAATGAACACGCCAGGATCCTCTCGTTTCAACTCGATTTGTCTGAACACTCTCTCTGTCGCAGGTCCGTCAGCAGACTTGCATTGTGGGTCATGTCTTCTGGCGTGACCTTCAGCCATTGAGCAATGGTACAGAAACAACCTGCTAGTGAAGCAGGAATTGGATGACAGGCCCGTCACGAGATCGGATCAATTTCCCCCCCCTGCATTTGATCTCAGTGCACGACCAGACGCTTTCTTCGGGTACAGGTCTCAAAGAGCTCTTGTCCGTGGGTCCAAGGCACAACTGTATCCTGACCGAGAATTCTGGAAACCATGTGGCGAATTGTGGCCATAGCAGTGCACAGCTGCACCTTCTTCCCGTGCACGATCAGCAGAAATCCAGAAATGTCCCTGATTTTCTCCTCCACATTTTGTGCACTTGAGAATCAGCAATCTTTGAAAAGCTTGCATGCTGGTTGAAGAGAGCATCAAACATGGCGTGATGCACACACTCAAAATACCTAAGTTTAGAAGAAGAAGCAGAAGAAGAAGCAGGGGCACCAAGCTAAAGCCGCTTAGGTTACAAGTGCGAGGACGGAAAAGCGCACGTAGGAAGGATTCCGAGATGGATCGCATGCGGCCGTGCTGATGTTGGTAGATAAAGATGCCAGATAGAAGCCACGACAGAAGAGTCCTTGTTTGGAAATCGCTCTTCGATCAAGTCCCTGCCAAGTGTTGCAAGATTCGTGTTCAAAAAATGTTAGAATTCATAATGATGCCAGCAGGGCGCCACACGCCCCAAGTGACAGCGGACCACTTCTTTCACTGAGAGGAATGGACAAATCAGAATCACCTTGGGCAATGTTGCTCATGCAACATCCCGGCCGAACTAGCACACACACACACACACACAGACTCACACTTTACACCTAGGTGCATAACTGCACACTTTGAAGCGGAAAGGGTCCTGGCCCCATACGTCTTGGCCATCGCTGCTACGTGAAGGGCTGGCCTGGCAGACAGCGTGCACCAGATGGTGCTGGTATCGCTTCACGACGTGACTCAGGAGAGAATGAGGCCCGAGCCCACTGCCCACAGATCGACCCAGCACGATTATGTCCTCCAGTCTCACCACGGCATAACACGGCCACCACATCTGAAAGAGCGTGCCGGCATGCCGCAGTCTCCTCGGACGGATAACGAAGAACCTCGACGTGGGCGACAGGCCCACTCATGACTTTGACACTCCGTGACAAGACAGCTTTGGTACTCCGGGCTCGGCTGAGCAAAACAGATCCCAAGTAAGATTCACCGTGAAACAACTGCTGGCACATTTACATGTCCCTCCCGCAACCAACCCCAGTTGACAATCCGCAATCCTGCATCTGTGCGAAATTTCAAGCAGCAGGACCCACACAAACTGATCGCTCCTAACCCCAAAAACTCAAGAGCCGCGTTCACAGACTTTAAACTCGACTCACATTCGGGTTTTGTGGCTGCGCTTGTAGACAACCGAATTCCACTGCGCTGTGTTGTTTGGCATTTGATCTTAGGCAGTAGAGGTGGGCATTGCCCATCCATGATGGGTGGCCGTGACTGTGGCTTGATGGGGAAGAGTACAACTAGACAGGAAAAATTATGTTGAAGGGTGCAGGAAGCTGACCTGACTTTAAAGGTGAGACGCTGTGAGAGGCTTCCGCCAAAACCGGCCAACTAAGTGCTGCTGTAGTGGAGAGGACTCTGTGTAGTCTATGAGAGTAGGCTCATACCCGCACCAAGTTGACATCGGCGACCCGTTCTGCTGCCTCCGTGACGAAACGAAATGCCAACTTGGCGTTCTCAATCACAGACACCTCATCTGCCTGCCAACGCTCGCCACAGCACCAGCAACAACTCTTCGAATCTTACATTATCCTGCAACCACTGCTGGCACCGAACCTGTCCACCAGGACAAATTCCATAGCCCGGGTACTCGACAGCAAGCACATTCACCTCTCCATGTAATCAGCCGCTTTGCTGCACAGGCAGCATAATTGCATGTGGCCCAAAGCACAAACTCACAAACGAAATGTTTCCTGCTAAGAGCAACTCCAGCCTAGGCACACCTCCCACATCAGGCACGGCCAGCCCCAAGGTTCTTGCCTGGAACTGCATGCGCAGCATGTTGCAGAAGTTGTAGCAGCGCCCGAGGTCCTTGAAAAAACATACACAATCCAGCCATATCTACGATATGCTTGCTTCCCGTTCTCTGCTTCCTCCGCATTGCTGTGCATGTACAGCATGACGAATCTCGCAGAGTTGGATGTCAAGAATAGGCACGGAACATTGGCCTCGCAGATTCTAACATACTGCAATTCAACGAACTGCTTTGATTTCAACGGGGCACCTCGACGTTTGGATCTTCTGGGTCTAGACTGCGTGGCAACCATATGAGCTCCTCTCACGACAGGCTAGTCAACTTAGACAAAGTATGTGTTGTCTGCCCCGAGGTATGAAGAGGCAGCACGGCAAGCTTCCAAAGGCAAAACCGCCGAGCCAGAAAGTCTAGCACAAAAAAAAGTTTCCCTGCATCCACAACATGACCCAGCACACGTCCCAACCTCCTCCGGAAACGTGTGGAGATCATAGCTGGCTTCTGGTGCCGGGAAAAGAAGTGTGTTGACCTGAGCATCGTTACATGCGAAGGCGCTATACCAGTCTGACTCGACGATCATTCAGGATCCCCACGACGGCCGTCAGCTTGGAGCACGGTTGTGCAAAAAAGGTCGACAAGTGATCAAATTGACCAACAGGCAGACAAGAGAGGCAGAGCCACCAGAGTCAGCGGCACTGGCGCGTCTACGGAAGTGTCAGGAACGGAATTAGTCGGAGGAGGTGGTCCGACTTCGCTTGGGGTGCGGACTTGTATTGGTCACCACACAAACCTGGCTGCAATGCCTAAAGCATGTTTGGCCTTGACGTGGGGCGGGCCATGCCCTCCTATTATGGGGTCCGGCCTTCCCATGCAGAGGCGCCCTTCGAAAAAATAAAGAGCGCGGCAATGTTCGGGCCAGCACCTACCCTGAGGATAGGTCAGAATCACTGCTCGATGTAACATCCCTCGAGCACTTGCTTGCGGTCGGAGGCTGTTGCAGGCGAACCGTCTCCAACATGGAGGTTTGTTCGGCCTGGATGGAACAGAAGGATCGCGAGTGGCCTTCGTGTGTCCAGGGTCCCCTATGATAAACCACTGACGAAACTGCGTATGTATGCCACTCCCGGTTCTGACCCTCCTGCCAGGTCGGTAGACTGACAGTCTGATGGGGATCCAAGGCTGTGCTAAGCTTTTGGCCTTGACTCCTGCGTGCGACGATGACTGGAAGGAAAGGAGGGGCCAGGCCGAGCACAACTATTGCAAGGTTCTGCTATCAGGAGATTCCCCAGTGTCCGAGTCCTCTACCTGTCCATCCGTGCGTCCCTGCCAGCCAGCAGGTTGTATGTCTCCGCTGTTGTCAGATTGTCAGCTATCAGCGATGTTGGAAACTCCGCAGAATCCTGTTTCCTGCCATCAAGTTTCCATCTCGGAACCAGAGAGCGAAGTGCAAAGAGACTTATGAGGTTCAGAGGCCTCGGTTCCTGCGTGTGATTGTTGCACTTCTGCAGTAGCTGTCCGAGCTCCGCGAAGTTGCGACCAGCTTGCTGCATAGCAATAAGAGCTAAAAGGACAGAGTTGACTTAACAGGTGTTACGTGTCTTCATCAGAGTGCGCAGGTTAGCCGACGGTCCCGAGCCAGCAGCCTTGTACCTGTTGTGTCTTTAAAGCTTGTTCCTCTAAGCCAACCCTGAAACGTGCAAACGAAATGCATGAGACGAGCCATCCGCGAGTTGGGAAAGCTAAGCTTCATGCCAAGTTGAAGCCTCGTGACATCGTATGGCCTTGCAATGCACCGAGCTCCAGCAATGTGCAAGCATGCACTGGGGGGAGCTGAGTCGAGCACAAGATTGAAGGGCTTCAAAACCGCTTTCCTGGGCTCCAAATCGGCCGGCAAGAATGTGCAGCACCCAAAACCTCGCAAAAGAAACCTCTCACTGCGAGAACCCAGCATCGGTGTGAGAGCTTGCAAACACAAAGCGTCTTTGGAACTGTTACAAGACACGACAAGCACCCGAAGCTAAACGGTGAATGGAGCGAAGCATGCAATGATAGTGCCAATGTCAGCTCACGGTATACTGATCCAATCACTCGCACGCCAGTCGTAAGACAGCCTCTGTGTAAGAGCTAGTGCGCGAGCGAAAAATTCTCAAGTCACCCTGCAATGAATCATTCACCCGAATCCTAGCCTTGAGCACTAACATGATCATCAAGACACTTCTCAAAGAGCTGGAATCGCTGTCGCCAGTGCTCACGGGATCTCCTGAAGGGCATCGCACTCTTGTCGGACATTCAAGTTATAATGCGATTCCACATGAAGCGACGACAGTCCTGGCTCGGGAAGGGCATGTCCGGCCGGCCTCGAACAAAGCAGGGCTTTCTGAGAAATGCAAAAGTGGAGTCGTCATCTTTGCGATATCATGTAATGCACATACCTGCAGATGCTCGAACAGACGAAAGGTCGGACAAGGGGAGTGCAAACTAATTACAGAAACGACGACGGTCGTAAGTGAGCACGGCGACCCGGACACACCAATGCAATTCTAGTCTCAGCTTTCACGGCGCGGGTGCAGCAACAGTTTTCCTTCGAATGCACCACTTCCATGCGCTCCATTATGTAGTCAAACGTGCCACGCACCCGGCCAAGCCATCGGAACTCACCCCGAAGGACCTGCAACATCTGCGCGTCTGAAGTCGTCGGAAAAAGCAGGCAGCAAACAATAAGTCTCAGAAGGACACTGCACGTCCATCAGGAAGCTCGTCTAGCTGACCAGCCTCGGCATTGAAAGAGAACAGCATGCGCGATACCCCCGCCGCAGACAACAAAGCTCGCAGCGTAGTGATATGCACCAGGCACCTGCATCCATTATCAACCATCTTTCACAGACTGTCAGTGATAGACCGCGCCTCTGCAATTTTTTCTTTCCATGCCAGGCACCACTTGCGCTTGCCACCAAGCGCCACGATGTCTGCACAAAGGTTTCCCTTCAGGTGCATGGGCTAACAAAAAACTGACTTTGCTGTGAAGGAAAAAACTTTCTTGCAAAGGGGACAGAACACATCGCGAATGCTCCGAATGGTGAAACAGGCCTGCCATACACCGTGAAGGATGGTGCGATGGCCGCCCGAATCCTTCACTGAGACAGCTGCTCTGGTGATGAAGCTCTTTCTAAGACTCACTCGACAATGCTCTGCCTGTCTTCGGTGCACCGCCTGCCCCTGCATGGCCAGGCTGCCACCTCATTTCTGAGGCCGGACAATTAAGCTTAACCTCACCATTTGGGAAATCCTTGCGCCCAGGCTGGAGAAAGTGCAATCTGCTTCGGTTGCCATTTCCCCTTTGTTATCACGAACCTGCACAAAGATACGAGCAGCACGCGCTCAATCCCTGGCTCGAAAAAGGATCCGGCCGTACCAATGAGATGCCAGACGCTGGAAACGACCCGAAGATCCTTGGCGCGATCCCGCGCATCTCGTCTGTGCTTTCTTCCGAGCTTTGGCTAAGAAGCTGGCAACACGGCGTGCTTGAGCACGTGAACTGCAAGAAGCCCTCCAGGAAGCATGCACCTAACTGAGACCAAGCTCGAAGCGGTCTTGGAGCCAGCGACTGAGACAAACGGTAGGGCCCGTGCTCTCCGGAGTTCAAACAAAGATCCTAGCCATCGGTAGGAGAATACCTGACTTGCACGGGCGAAACTTGAGAACCCGAATCGCAACAGCTACCTTGATTTATGCACACTCTCGGGAGATTCAACGAAGCTCACAAGAAAGATTCAGAGATCGACAGTGGTGACAAAAACAACATCATCCATCATCACAGATCCCGAGAACCACAGTTTCCTGCAACCCTGCGCCTGGCGCCAGCAAGCCTCTGACGACTCCTTAGAGGGGGCAACACTGCGCACAAGTCGGAACATCTATACACAGGGAGGGCTTCGCAAAATTCAATGAGGATTACTGAGCCCATGGCAGCCCAACCACGACAAACTGTCGAGGCAGAGCCCAATGCTGGAAGATCTAAACCTTTGTCTTTCAATGGACTGCAAACGATCTATCTCGGCTCGTGGTGCCTTTAAAAGATGCTGAGGGCCCTACACACCAGCATCTGTGGCAGGGCATCGCCCAACGTACGAGTTACATCGGCCATCGCCATGCAAAGACCACCCGTCGGTCACTGCTTCACATGTCGGGGCCGATTGATCACAATTTGCTGCTCGCTTGCTGATACATGCACTCACCATTCGATGCTTGTAAAACTTTGGCAAATGTCTCAAGCTGGATGCTTCCATCCAGCCAGCCACGCCGACGTCACCAAGGCAAGCATACCAGCACACAACGTGTTTGACCATCTCGAAGCAGCGCAAGACATGAAACCGTCAAACTCTGAGCTCCTGGCGCAGCGTCGTCGAAGCCGTAGCTTCGAAAGAAACACATGACCACGGCAGCACAACTGTGCCTTTTAACATCCTCTGATTGGCGTTCGAGGCTATAGCGAGCTTTTTCGCAGGTCATGCTTCGGTATCGTTTTTCTAGCTGATCTTACTGACTGGCACAATGCAGGTGGTGATTTGCTTGGATCTATGGCATCCATGGGCTGAATTACAAAACTTGAGATACGTTCACATACACGGAAAGGCACAAGCTCAGAGAAAACTTTAAAAAAAACACGGCTTTCCACGTTTGCAAAAGCATGCAAAATTGATGCTTGAACTGAAAAAAATAATCCTTGCATTCGTCGAGACAAGTTGAACAAATGACAATTGAAATCAAAAATATTTTGACTTCAAACAATTCCAATGCGTTGGCTCAGAATCTTGTCTGTTACTCGAGAGTGAATTGTCCGAAGCGGCATGCCGCATGTTGATGTGCAGCGGTGCACCGCGTTTGACACGTCCCAGACACGCGCGAGATCCGATGCCACACCCCGGCCGCCCCCCCGCCCGCCCCCACACAGCCCAGGTTTGCAGCCTGCACTGGGACTGCTGGTTTTCATGGTCTCTTCTGGCACGTGGTTCAGTGTATGTTCCTCTGTTTTAGCATTTTTGGCATTTCAAACTGTTCTTGCAGTGTCGTAGGGCCTTCACGCTTGCCCTACACGCTTGGAGACGGGATTCGCCCCTGGCAAGGCCAAAAATCGGTCCAGGATGATGCTCTTTTCATGTTTCTTGCGACATCTCATGCGATTAAAGACTAAAGCCCAAATACGAAACTCTAGACTCTAGACTTTCATTGTTTGGGGAGTTTTCCGACTAACGGAGAAACTTACAAAACAAGTAAGCCTAGGGGCCCACGAAAGAGCGCGGAATGGGCAGAGCCCTTGAAGACACAGTCAGACACAACACACCTGTTTGTGTTCCGGTGGTGGTGGTGGTGGTGGTGGTTTCGTTTTCGTTTTACACGCCGCCAAGGAGATCCAGGCTTTGCGACAGGACATGTGGTCAGGGTTTTCCCCGGTCGCATAGCGACGCACATAGTGCACCGTCCCCAAAGACAGACATTATATGCCCCACCGCGGACGGCCAGTGAGCATACAATGATGAAAGCGCGCTAAGAGAAGCTTAATCTCACTCTCACCAACGATCAACTGTACATCCTATGCCCCATAAAGAAGAGCGCGGCCCATGATCGCCAGGAGAGGTCTCAACCGTCATCGTTCGCATCAGGGCAAGTAACAACCAGACCCGCACATTGTTCCATACCAGCGTGTGGCAGAAAAGCCCCAGAAAAATTCCAGAATGTCCCTTAAAGCCCCGAGGAAGCCACTGCATCAGGGCGCAAAAGCAACTGAAAGCCGAACCCGGCCAGCGTGTCTCGTTGAGCCTTTGTGAGAGCCTCCAGTCCTCGAGCATGATGAGCCACCAGAATGGTTCTGTCTCCGTGCGACCATGGAAAAGTCGCATGTGGTGTAGTCGGATTCAGGACCACACAAGGCCTCGTAATCTCTC